CCCTTCCATCTTTGTTCTTGGGGAGAGACCTGACTTGACCTGTTTCTCTGTTGCCTCCTGAACCTCACGCAGAGCTACACCTGATCTCCACACCTGTGTGCGGCTTTTCGCTTTCTTTTTGAAGGCTGTATTTATTTTGCATTTTATGCTCGCGTGTGTGTGTGTGTGTGTGTGTGTGTGTGTGTGTGTGTGTGTGTATGTGTGTATGTATGCGTATGCGTGTATGCGCACGTGCGTGTTGGCCAAGCACTTGATATTGCGCCATGACCATGGGCTCCATACAGTTTTGTAATCAAAAGGAAAATACATGTTGATTAGAAGCCTAAGCTTCCATTTTAGGTTTCTGCTCCTTTTCTCCTGTGGAAAAGCTCCCGTGGGTGCAGAGGTCGGGCTCAGCACTGTGGGGCATATCCTTAGTGTTATGGACTGGCTTTTCCTTGCAGCACATGAAGAGCCTCTTCGTTCCCATTTCCCATTCCACTGGCTGTTTGCCCACCTACTGTGTACTGAACCCCATCTCTCTCTCCACCTGGCGCCCCAGAGGCTTTCCTTCTGTTCCTCTCCTCTTTGACCTCTCCCACATACTTTCCTTTCACTAGTGAGTGTTGGAAGGCCTGCCCTGGGATGGGGTCCAGACATACCTGTTTTGTTCACCTGCCCCTCCCTCCCACCTCCAGGCTCTGGCCCAGAACCTGACACTGTCAGAAAGGAGTCAGGGCTCAGAAAGGCCAAGCCACCTGTCCAAGGTCACTCTGCCAGGGAGCAGCAGAGCCAGCCTGGCCCCAGTCTGCTGCTCCTCTCCAGAGCTCAGGGCCTTGGTCCCACCTAACTCCATGATGGCCTGACTGTATTGGGAAACTGAGATGGGTCTCTCCCGCCGCTGCCGCCACAGCAGGAGTCAGGACAAGGGGTGCCTGTGGGAATGACAGTAGCCCCAGGACCCAGGCCCTGCTTGAATGAGCTGGGGTAGCGTGCAAAGGAGGGGGCAGGAGGCTGGGCTCTGCTACTTGCCTTTCAAGTCCTTGACCCATATTTTATACACATGGGCGTATTTCCTGCAGTCTCTGCTCCCTTCCAGACAGGAAAACAGAGAATCTAGACAGCCTTCTGGTCCCTTCCTGAGAAAGGTTCTACCCCCATGTACCCATCCTATCCCTCTGCTGCTCTCCCGTCACACCCAGGGGCACCCGAGAGAGCTCAGGTGGGGCTGCTCACTGGAGTGGCCCCTGGGGATGTGGATTGTCTGGGCTGCACTGTGCGTAGGTGTGCAGTTTGCTCTTAAGCCTGTGTGTGAATTGGGCACATGATGTAATACTGAGCCTTAAGGAAGAAGCAAAGTGTGTGGTGCATGCCTACAATCTGAGCCCTTAGGAGACTGACACATGAGGATTGCTGAGTAGAGGTGAGCTGGACTATATAGTGAAACCATGCCTCAAAATAAATAAATAAATAAATAAATAAATAAATAAATAAATAAATAAATAAATAATAAAATTTGTTTTTTAGGAGAAGAATAGAGGCTGGAGAGATGGCAGTTTAGGCTCTTGCTGCTTTCCCAGAGAACCTGAGTTTGGTTCCCATGTCAGATGACTTAGAACTAACTGCCTGTAGCTCTTGTCTCCTCTTCACACACACACTCTCTCTGTCTCTGTCTCTCTCTCTCTCTCTGCAATAGTTTGAATAAGAATAGCTCCCATAAGCCTGGCAGTGGTGGCACATGCCTTAATCCCAGCACCTGGGAGACAGAGGCAGGTGGATCTCTGAGTTCTGAGTTCAATACCACCCTGGTCTACAGAGTGAGTTCCACGACAGTCAGGACTCCACAGAGAAACCCTGTCTCGAAAAACCAGAAGTCAGTCTAAAATAGGTTACAACATGATGAACCCTGAGGAGTCCCAGTTAAGGAATGGTCAGCATGATGGCAGGCAGCAGAGCAGAGCCTCAAGACCTCCAGAGAGACTTAGAACCGTCAGGGTCGTGGAGATGGCTAGACACAGTAGCTGCCAGTGTTTGGGGACTGGAGGAGTCGGTGACTAATGATCGGAGTTTCTGTTTTGCAAGAGAAAGAGGCTGTGCCAGCAGATGGTGAGGACAGCTGAGCCACAGCTCCATGCTTCACACCACTGGCCAGACACAGGCCTGAGACAATGGCTACATTTATGGTAGTTGCATCTTTTCACGTCCCAAAGCCAGCTGAGAAAGCCATGGGCACCACAGTGGGTTCTGGACTGGGCCCTCCCCAGCCTCTGCATGAGGAGCTGCTCCCATTGCTCCCAGTGTGGGTGCTTACTCACCCCTCTGGCTCCCTGGGTGCCGCCGCCGGAGGGTACTGCACCTCACCACTCCCTATAGCCCCAGTCCTCCCTGAGGCAGGAAGTGGGAGGGGTCACCCCTTGCTGGCCCTACCCACGCCACATCCACCTGAAACTGCTTGCCCACCACACCCAGGTCCACACCCATCCCTGCCCACTCCCCCGCCTCTGTTTGAGAGTGCTATGGACTGCTGTGCTGAAGAAGCGTCTGGCCGCAGAGGTGCAGGGGTCGCTGACCCTGCCAGCTCAAACTGCAGAAGTAATAGGACTGTCTGTAGGAGGTGACCCTCTACTCAGGTCACCTTCACCAGGCCTCGGCCTCCCCTGGGCTCTAGTCCGCTTCCTTCTCAGCTCTGGGATTAACCCACACTCTGGCCTGAAGTGGGGGACACTTTGGATGTGTTCATTACCCCCACGGGGCCTCACCAAGGGCTGAATAGAATCCAAGATGAACTTTGAGATGGGGGAGGAGGCAGGTGGATGAGCATGGATGGATTGAAGTGTCTCCTCCTTCAGGCAGCTAGCTGGTCTGACCTCTCAGAACCTGGGCTCCTTACCTGCATCTTGGAGCCTGACTACTACTACCTTGCTGGGCACACAGCTAGCTGAACTTGTCTTTTGTAAGGAGGCTGGCTATTCCCCATGAACTGACAGGCTCAACTTCTCACCAGAAATCAAAGGAAGTACTGTGGAATGGAAGCCACAGCCGATAGCTGCTCCTACCCCAAATGGCTGGCTCTCTATCCCTTCCAGTCTCCTGAATGAGTGGGACAGGATGCCTCACTCCCTCAGGCCCAGTCTAACTCCTCTCCTCCAATCTTCAGCTGCCCTGGATGAGGCCTTGGAGGCAGGAAAGATACCCTGTGTGGTTCCCAGCTGGAGGTCAGCTGTGTGATTCAGCCCGCCCTGCCCTCTCCAGCCCACCCCTGTGCCCCTCTCTCCCAGGGGTGTGGGTGGTGTACAAAGCCAGCTGGTCATTAGAGGGCTGGGGCCTTCCTGTGGGATAGGCACTCATCCTGGCCCGAGAGTCCGGGCCTCACCAGGAGAGCTGTCTCTGGGTGGCTGCCGGTATTGTCTGCTGGCCCTGAGGTGACCTAAACAATGGGAGCCCGGGGGTGGGGGCGGGGAAGCTGGACACCTTTGAGGGTTTCTTCAGCACCATGTGTATCAGACACCTACTGTACATGGGACCGTAGGCAAGAGGAGGGCAAACTCCATAGAGCAATGAAGCCTGATCTCAACCAGGAGGAATGGGACAGTGTTTTACTTGGTAAAAAAAATTCCATTGGGCAGATGTTATTGGGCAGATGTTTTACCTCCCTGAAACTCTATTTTCCCCTGTCTGTGGAATGGGCTAAGGGACAGGCGGAGAGATTCCAGCAGAGTCAGTGTGGGAGGAGCCTGCCCTGTACTGTAGCTATTGCCAGCTCCACTAAAGGCCCGAATGCCTCCTGCCTCAGGGCCATCCTCAGGTCCTCAGGTGCCCTCGAGAGACTGGCTGGGAGCACTTAGCACTTGTGGAGAGGATTCAACAGACTGAAGGAGCTGTTACTGCTGTCATGATCAGTGTCAGTGTGAAAATGCAGTAGCCTGGTCCCCTCCCCAGGGGGTCCCCTTCCTCTTCCAAGACAGTGAGACCTACCTAACACAGTATTTAAAGTTGGTGTGAACTCTAGATTCTGATCACGGAAATACGGGTTAAGTAAAAGCACAGTTTTACTTTTTAAAATGGGGGTGGTGATATAGCCCTTGTATAGCGTGCAGGAAGTTGTGGGTTTGATCCTTAGCAACTCATAAACTGGGTGTGGTGGCTTAGGGAGTAGACTGGATCAGAAATTCAAGGTCATTATTGGTTATATGCTGATGAGTCTGAGGCCAGCCTACAGCTATATAAGCCCCTGTCTCAGATGAAACCAACCCAGAAGTCAAGAGAGTTACCAGTCAGTGTGCACTGGGCGGCCTGACAGCCGAGTGAGCAGAGCCTCTTCCCCATCTCATGCTTTTCATATTTTTCCAGATGCCCTCTAGCGAACTTCCAGGGGTAGCTGCTTCCTGCACCCCACTCATTACAGTTCTGTAGACCAGAGGCAGCCCAGCCTCCTTGGCAGTGTTCAGGGATACCAAGGACCCCTTCCACCCATGTTGGTGGCACAGGCTGGCTCTCCCTAAAGCAGCTTCTGGTCCAGCACTTCTCAGTGGGCTAACCACTTGGGGCACAGAAACCACTGTAGATTCCCAGGCTTCCTGAGTCCAGCCAGATGGAGCTCTGGGGCGACTCGCCTGTACTTGCTGTTTACAGCCCCCTCTCCACACCGCAGGTTATTCACAGGAAGTTACACAGAGCCTCCGTCCTGTACTCCCACCTCTAGGAGGCCCTCACTGGACCTACTGTCTGTCCCCACAGTCCTGTCCACACCCACCATGTACAAACTTGCAGATGTGTTTTGGTTTCTTTTGTTTCAAGACAAGGTTTCCCTGTGTAGCTCTGGCTGTCCTGGATCTCGCTCTGTAGACCAGGCTGGCCTTGAACTCAGAGATCCACCTGCCTCTTCCCAGCAAAGGCTGGAATTAAAGGCATTTGCCACCACCGAGCAGCTCCAGTGGTGGAATTTGTATATTCTTCCCTCATCCTTGGGGTCCACAATTGTGATCTGCCTGTGGTAACTTCCTCTTATGGGTCCCTTTCAGGGTGAACCATGATCCCGGTGACAGAGCTCCGCTACTTTGCGGACACCCAGCCAGCATACCGGATCCTGAAGCCATGGTGGGATGTGTTCACTGACTACATCTCCATTGTCATGCTGATGATTGCTGTCTTTGGGGGGACGTTGCAAGTCACCCAGGACAAGATGATCTGCCTACCATGTAAGTGGGTCACCAAAGACTCCTGCAACGACTCCTTCCGGGGCTGGGCGGCCTCCAGCCCGGAGCCCACTTACCCCAACTCCACAGTCGTGCCGACTGCCGACCCAGGCCCCACAGGTATAAAGTATGACCTAGACCGCCACCAGTACAACTACGTGGACGCCGTGTGCTACGAGAACCGTCTGCACTGGTTCGCCAAGTACTTCCCCTACCTCGTGCTCCTGCACACCCTCATCTTCCTGGCCTGCAGCAACTTCTGGTTCAAGTTCCCGCGCACCAGTTCCAAGTTGGAGCACTTTGTGTCTATCCTGCTCAAGTGCTTCGATTCTCCGTGGACCACAAGGGCCCTGTCAGAGACAGTGGTGGAGGAGAGTGATCCCAAGCCAGCCTTCAGCAAGATGAATGGCTCCATGGACAAGAAGTCATCTACAGTCAGCGAGGACGTGGAGGCCACTGTGCCCATGCTGCAGCGGACCAAGTCACGGATTGAGCAGGGCATCGTGGACCGATCGGAGACGGGCGTGCTGGACAAGAAGGAAGGGGAGCAGGCAAAGGCACTGTTTGAGAAGGTGAAGAAGTTTCGGACCCACGTGGAGGAGGGGGACATTGTGTACCGCCTCTACATGCGGCAGACCATCATCAAGGTGATCAAGTTCGTCCTCATCATCTGCTACACTGTCTACTATGTGCACAACATCAAGTTCGATGTGGACTGCACTGTGGACATCGAGAGCCTGACAGGTTACCGCACCTACCGGTGTGCCCACCCTCTGGCCACGCTCTTCAAGATCTTGGCGTCCTTCTACATCAGCTTGGTCATCTTCTATGGGCTCATCTGCATGTACACGCTGTGGTGGATGCTGCGGCGCTCCCTCAAGAAGTACTCGTTTGAGTCAATCCGAGAGGAGAGCAGCTACAGCGACATCCCAGATGTCAAGAACGACTTCGCTTTCATGCTGCACCTCATCGACCAATACGACCCGCTTTACTCAAAGCGCTTTGCCGTCTTCCTGTCCGAAGTGAGTGAGAACAAGCTGCGGCAGCTGAACCTCAACAATGAGTGGACGCTGGACAAGCTGCGCCAGCGGCTCACCAAGAACGCCCAGGACAAGCTGGAGCTGCACCTCTTCATGCTCAGTGGCATCCCTGACACTGTGTTTGACCTGGTCGAGCTGGAGGTCCTGAAGCTGGAACTGATCCCCGATGTGACCATCCCGCCCAGCATCGCCCAGCTCACGGGCCTTAAGGAGCTGTGGCTCTACCACACAGCAGCCAAGATCGAGGCTCCTGCTCTGGCCTTCCTGCGTGAGAACCTGCGGGCACTGCACATCAAGTTCACCGACATCAAGGAGATCCCCCTGTGGATCTACAGCCTGAAGACGCTGGAGGAGCTGCACCTGACGGGGAACCTGAGTGCAGAGAACAACCGCTACATTGTCATCGACGGGCTCCGGGAGCTCAAGCGCCTCAAGGTGCTGCGGCTCAAGAGCAACCTGAGCAAGCTCCCGCAGGTGGTCACGGATGTGGGCGTGCACCTGCAGAAGCTCTCCATCAACAACGAGGGCACCAAGCTCATCGTCCTCAACAGCCTCAAGAAGATGGTGAACCTGACGGAGCTGGAGCTGATCCGCTGTGACCTGGAGCGCATCCCCCACTCCATCTTCAGCCTCCACAACCTGCAGGAGATCGACCTCAAGGACAACAACCTCAAGACCATCGAGGAGATCATCAGCTTCCAGCATCTGCACCGCCTCACCTGCCTTAAGCTGTGGTACAACCACATTGCCTACATCCCCATCCAGATCGGCAACCTCACCAACCTCGAGCGCCTCTACCTGAACCGCAACAAGATCGAGAAGATCCCCACCCAGCTCTTCTACTGCCGCAAGCTGCGCTACCTGGACCTCAGCCACAACAACCTGACCTTCCTTCCCGCTGACATCGGCCTCCTGCAGAACCTCCAGAACCTGGCGGTCACGGCCAATAGGGTGAGTGGTCTGCCCCGGGATGGCCTGCCGGGCGGATGGGCGGGCGTTCAGGAGAACTAGTACCTCGGGACACTTCTGAGGTTGAGGTCCTCACTTGTTTCTAGAAACTCGGATACTTGTTCAGGAGCCAGGCTCCCAGGCCTCACTGCAGATCTGCTAAATCAGAATCTCGGGCTGGGAGTCTGTCCTTGTCACATAAGCTCAGAGTTCTGCCACGAGAGTGGTGTGGTCAGGCAGGGCCTGTGTTTCAGGGGTGTCCATAACACAGGAAGCCCAAGACCAAGGTTCTCTTGGAGTGGGCTGGTGGGAGGTAGGTCTTAACCTGGAGTTTGTGGTATCTGTCTCCCTCAGCTTGTCTCCAATGAGATTTCGAGCCGAGGGGCCAGCTTGGGTCTCCTCAGCAAGAGAAGCTCTGAGGGCGGCGGCTTTCCTGGCTGAGGTGAAGGCAGATGGTCTCTGTAGCTACACCACTGCTCGTGTCCCTCCCTTTTCTGTGTCGGGCGCTGGAGGGAAAGGTTGGGCTTAAATGGCATGGCTCGTCCCCACCTGCTTTTCTGGAGAAGAAATTATGCAGACTGGGGCCTAGCACTGTGGGAAGCGATGCCCTTGAGACTGTAGGTGGCCTCTGTGCACCAACTCTTTGTGTGACTCGAAAGCCCCCACCAAGCAGTAACGGGGCAGTTAGATTGGGGCGGAGGGCAGGGCACTTCTGTGGCTTGTGGTCTAGCCTCCAGGGGAAACCAGGCTGCAGCCACTGCTGTTGGGTGGGAGGTTCCGCTGTACTCAGGATGTCTTCCTGTCAAAGGTGGGGAGCCTGAGGTTGGGGGCAGGAGACAGAGCTTGAGCACCAGATCAGCCACCGCCTCTGTGCCTTTAAGTTCTGCTGACTCTTGAGTGACGGTTGTGGTGGCCTTGAGCAGGTGCGACACCGCAGCCTCCTGCTGCAGCCTCCTGCTGCAGCCTCCTGCTGCAGCCTCCTGCTGCTGCCGGCTCTTTCTACCAGCCTCAGATGTGGAGGACAGTGGATCTAGCTCGCCTTGCCTCGACGTGGCACAAAGTGGTGATGGCCTAGGTGCTTCCTTCCTTGGTTGCTCCACCCCTTTAGTGCAGGCCATCCTGTACCCTCCCTGTCAGAGGGATCTGGCCAGTCCTTGTTTCCCCACCCCAGCCATGGTTTATGTCCATTTGAGAGTGTTCAACGATGATGGCCCAACTCCAGTGGTTTAGTGGGACTATAGTGGGACCCGTTGAAAAGAGGAAGTGGATGTCCATGAAGGAAAAACAAGCAAAAACGAAACAAAGCATGTTTGGGAAGTACTGCACAGGCCAGTCCCTTCTGTAATGTGGGGTAGGGTACCAAGTGGCTCCCTGCGGCGGCGTAATGTTGGAGCCTGGTTACTCCAGGAAGTTGGAACGGACTCTCCATCCCTCACCCTGAGGTGCCGGCTGTGCTTTAGGTGCTGAGCCAGACTCCTACAGGGTTCAGGAAGGTGTGGGACAGCTTTCAGCCTCACCTTACCTCGTCCCCCACCCCCGGGTTCTCACACCAGGCTTGCCTGTTAGTGTCGTGCCTGTAGGCTGAGGTCACCCCTTAGGAAAGGAGCTGGCAGAGGCATGTTCTTTAGGAGGAAGGAGACCCTCTGACACCCTGTTAAGCACATTGCTTAATCACATCCTGTCCCCACCCCCTGGAGTACCCAGAGAAAGGCCTTTTATAGGAAAAAATGTGCTTGGACCAATTACAGGCAGGCGGGGCCTGCTGGGTTTGAGACTACAGTAGGGTGAGTAGTGAGGTGGGAGGCTGGAATTGCACAAGGCTGCTAGGGACAGAAGTGAGGGTGAGTTTGGGAGAGCCTTTGAAGGTGGAGTTACGGGTCACCCATTGGGGAGGGAGTGTGAGGTGGTTCGGTCTTCAGAGGAATGATGAAGTGTACATCCTGTGTTGGGCCCTCAATGAATTGTCCTGAGACTTCAGAGTCATCCTTGCTGTGCTCCAAGATGAAGAGGGGTCTTGAACTTTGAGGTGAAAAGCGAGGTCAGCTTGGAGCATATGGCTCCTTATGCATGGGGAGTCAGTGAAAGGACAGATGTGGATCTAGCTTGTGACTGGCCAGAGGCAAGGCTAGGCAGAAGGGCAGAGGCTAGGTTATGTGAGCTCAGAGGGAGCACTTTTCCAGATGGTGGTCAGGAAGGTTGAGGAGCCATGGAGGAGGGAGCAGCCCAGAGGCTCCTGGAAGGGTCATCTTTCCTGAAGACCAAGTGGACCTGAGGTCATTTCTACGCTAATCAGGGAGCCACTGAGGTCTCTTGAAGAGACAGGATAGATGGTATTCAGGGTGACTGGAAACAACTTTAAGCCTTCGGTGGACTAGGGACAGGTCTAAAAGGTTAGGCGTGGCCATGGCCAAGCTACCAAAAGGACCTGCACTTTTCTCTGAGGCCTAGGGAGTGCTTGGTGGCAGAGTACTGGTAGTGGTGGGATTCTGGGGAGGGGACTTTCAAGAAGATGTCTCTGGAAGCACAGACTAACTCTAAGTGGACCTGACTCTGCCACCCACTGGCCAGAACCATTTCTGCTGCCCTTGACTTTGTATCCTTGGAGGTCACAGGATGTGTGGTGGTGGAGGTGGTGGAGGAGGCAGGAAGGCAATGTGGCTATTCTGGGAAAGCGCTGCTCCCTAGGTCTTGCAGAGCCCACTTCCCATCTATGCTTGACTTTCATATCCCTGAACTTGAACCTGTAGCCACCTTACCCCATCCCTGGCCATAGCAGAGGTAGTTTTGGATACCCAGGTCAGACATCTCTTTGAACAAATCACTGTGATCCTCCTGTTCTGGTGACTGAGGATATAGCCACACTCATTTCCCTACTGAGAAAACTAAGGTGGTCATTGGAGACCAGAACCTATGAGGTTAAGGTCCAAGACTGAAAAAAGGTCCTGAGTTAGGAATGCTGGAGATGAGAAGGATTTCTAGGCCAAGCTTTGTGTTTCAGAAATGGGGAAGCTGGGCCAGGTGGTGGTGGCGGCACACGCCAAGGCCAGCCTGGTCTCCAAAGCGAGTTCCAGGAAAGGCGCAAAGCTACACAGAGAAACCCTGTCTCGAAAAAACCAAAAATAAATAAATAAAATAAAAAATACCAAGGCTGCATAGTAAGACCCTGTCTCAAAAACATAAAATAAGAGAAATAAGGACTGGCGAGATGGCGCAGCGGTTAAGAGCACTAGCTGTTCTTCCAGAGGTCCTGAGTTCAATTCCCAGCAACCACATGGTGGCTCACAGCCATCTGTAATGAGATCTGGCGCCCTCTTCTGGCCTATAGGCATATGTACAGACAGAACACTGTATACATAATAAATAAATAAATCTTTTTAAAAAAAAGAGAGAGAAATTTAAGCCAGACATGGTGGCACACGCCTTTAGTCCTGGCACTCGTGGGTTTGAGGCCATCCTGGTCTACATAGCAGGTTCTAGAGCAGCCAGGGCTAGGTAGTGAGACCATCCCCAAACAAGCAAGCAAACCAGCCAAGGGGGCCTGGAGAGATGCTCAATGCTTGTCAGCACTTGTGCCTGCAGAGGACCTGGGTCAGTCCCAGCATCCACATGACAACTTAAAACCGCTCGTTAGTGCCAGGAAATCTGACACCCTCTTCTGGCCTCCACAGTCACTAGGTATGCACATGGGTGCATGTACATGCATCCATGTGGTCAAGGACTCACACACATAAAAATAAGTACATCTTGGGGGGATGGAGAGATGGCTCTGAGGTTAGGAGCACTTGATGCTCTTCAGAGGATGCAGGTTCAATTCCCAGCACCCACATGATTCTGGCCCTGGGATGTGGAGTTGAGTGGGACAAGCAAGAGCTGCCAGCTTGATGTGCCTCTTAAGGCAGGTACTGGGTAGACCCACCCTGCACTCTGAGAGCCCACAGTCCAGGAGATGACAAGCAGAAGGATTAGCATTATAAATGTTGTGGGACCCAGCAAGTTAGGATGGCTTCCTGGAAGAAGTGACTGCAGAGGCAATACCTACATACCAGTAGCTGTTGGCCAGATTTGGGCCCATACTAAGGATTGTCAGGCTCAGAGAAAGCCCAAAGGCCCTGTCCAGCCGTCCACCTCACCCTGGCTCTTTGCTCCCTCCTGCAGATCGAGGCACTCCCCCCAGAGCTCTTCCAGTGCCGGAAGCTGCGGGCTCTGCACCTGGGCAACAATGTACTGCAGTCACTGCCCTCGAGAGTGGGTGAGCTGACCAACCTGACGCAGATCGAGCTTCGAGGCAACCGGCTGGAATGCCTACCTGTGGAGCTGGGCGAGTGCCCGCTGCTCAAGCGCAGTGGCCTGGTGGTGGAGGAGGATTTGTTCAGCACGCTGCCACCCGAGGTGAAGGAACGGCTCTGGAGAGCTGACAAGGAGCAAGCCTGAGCATAGCCTGGAGGAGCAGCAAGGACCCTCAGCAGGCCCTCAGGCCAAGTGGGCAGCCCAGCTCTCCCAGGACTGCTGGACAGCCAGCCGGGGCCAGCCAGGCAGAGCCCAGGCCAGGCGTGAGCTGGGCCAGGGCAGAAGACAGGAATTGAGGGGCTGGCCCCTTTTCTCCCTCTGGGACTCATACACCCAGGGCAGGCACTTGCTGGGGACCGGAAACTCTGAGACTAGTCTCAGAGTACAGTATTTGGACAATCAGGGTCTTTACCCTGGGGGCCATCTCTGCCTCGGGCTGAGCGGGCACCAGAGACCCAGGGACAGTAACTTAGAGCTGGGTATTTATTTCTCTCCACCTCCCATCTCCTCCCTACAGATAGCTTAGACATTCCCAAGACGGTTTGACTCTGTGGGAAGTGTTGAAGCAACCTGGCAGTGTTGGCCTCTTTCTTTTCGGGTGATGCTGACAGAGTCAGTGCCCACCCAGACGCAGGCAGAGTCGGGTTAGGTGAGCCAGCACAGGATGGTCACCTTATTGGCACTGGGCTAGGATCTGGCAGCAGCGCTTGTGGGAGACCAGGCCTCCAGGTGAAAGGGTCAGGCCTGGGGCTTGCCCTGTCAGTTTTTGAAGATTTTCGTTTGTTTTGTTTTCTTTCTTTCTTTTTTTTTTTTAAGTCTGTTTTTTTTTTTTTTTTTTTTAAGCTTTGAAAATGATGGTTTGGTTATTTAAAAAAAAGAAAGAAAGAAAAGAAAAAAAAAAAAAACAACGACACTAAAGGCCAGTGAGTTGAAGTCTCAGGGTGGGTGGTATTTCCCCTTGAGCAAAGCAGCAAGACATTGAAGGAAACTTCCTGTCCCTGTGGTGTGGGCCAGGAGGTCTTCCCAGTCCGTCCTGACCTTGGTCCAGAGTGCTGTTTGTTCTCTTCTCCTGGGGCAGGGCTTTTATTTTTGTTTGCTTTTAGGGTTTTTTTGGTGTCCTGTTATTTTTTTCTCCTCCATGGGTCTTGGCAGGCACCCTTTTCATGGCTGTCAGCCAAAAGGAAAGCTCTGGAGCTGCCAAGAAGGGAGGAGACTTGGGCTGACTAATCCCCAGATGAACGGTGCTCCATCCCTGCCCCCCCCCCCCCCTTGTGCCCCTCACGCACAGTGTTAAGGAGCCCGGGCAGCTGCTCCCCCAGACTCTGTCCCACGAGTGTCGTGGGTTTGCTCATGCCTCACTCGCCTCTGCTGCTGCTTACACTGGCTCTGTCACCATCTGGTCCCTCGTGAAGAACAGACATTTGAGGCAGGTTGGGCATGGAGAGGTCACCACTGCGAGGGCAGGTTCCCAGTTTTTGATTCCAGGCCAGTTTCTATACTGGGCACCTGGTTTGCACACAGTACAGTTAGCGCCTAGTGGCAGTGAGCCACTTTGCTTTAGATCACTCACTAGGGTCCCCACTTTAGAAGGGGCCTTGCCTTAGATCAATCACATGGACACTAAGGCACGTTTTAGCGTCTCTTGTCTTAACGACTATGTCTGTCCGTCCATTTGTGTTTTCTGCGTCGTGTCATTGGATGTAACCCTTGGAAATACTGCACACTAGCCTCTGTCAACCATGAAGCAATCCGTTACACATGGGTCAACTATCCAATAAATGTATAACACAGTTGCCTCTGGAGGTCTCCATGCCATAGAACACGGGTTTGTCCCTTCACTTCTCTGAGGTGTTTGGTCCTGGTTGACTAGTTTGTTGAAGGACCCTTTCTTGGGTCCTACAGTAGCCCTGCTCACCTCTCTACCCTGTGAAACTTAGGGTACCTTTGAGGGCAGTTGCTGGAAGGTGCACCTGTATGCTTCAGGCATAGTTCCTGACCACGAGTCTGGTGGCCTGTGCTGTTTCTCTTGTCCCAGGCACCTGTTTGGGCCCTCGTGAGCTTTGATTGGTTGGGGCCGGGAGTTGTCTGGATGGGAGCCAGTAGCCAGAAGTCCTTGTTGGAGCCCAGTTGTCTTGTGCGTGAAGCTAAGCCCACCTCTCCCTCTGTGGCCTCCATATTCCCATCTGCGCCATGGGCATTTCGATCCTGCTGTCAGAAGATGCTTGGGGTCGCAACACCCAAGTCTCCATGGTTCTGCAGAGGTCAGGCTGGCAGTGACCAAGGGGAGGCCTCCCTGGTTTCCAGAACTGCCTTCAGAGCGCAACTCAACTGAGACTCCAGTTCCCTTCATTTTTTTGTTGGCTTTTTCCCCTCCTTGGTTTCTTTCTTCCCCCCCTCTCATTTGTAAATTGGAGTAATAATGTCGTGAACAGGCCTGTTTAAAGGAGCCATGGTTTTGATGTCCACTTTGTGTTCTCCATGGCTGTGGTACCTAACAGTGGTCTATGGACTGGGGGGAGGACATTTCTGGGAATGGAGCCCAAAGCCGTGAACATGCTGAGCAAGGGTTCTTTTCGTCCACTGAGCTGTGCTCTTCACTCCTGGGTGATCTGTAGAGGAATGCTCCCTTAGGGTCACGGTTGCGGAGGTAAGAAGTCCAGGATCTGATTGATGGCTGGCTGTACCCAGTGAGGGGGACATGCCACCTCCTAACATCACAGCAGTTGGAGCTGCAGGGCTAGCCTATTCCCAGGAGAGGCATTAACCTGTTCATGAGGGTGGACCCAAGCACTTCCTACTCTGCCTACCTCCCCGTGGTGGATTCAATGCTGTAATCTCAGAGATTGCCAGAGGACAGAGCCAGTGTGGGCTCTGTGGTGTGGGCCAGCCAGACCTGTGGAACAAGCAGAGAGGTTCACTGGACGGTTTATCAAAAATTCAAAATAAGTGGAATTAAGTTTCTAATAGATGGATTTGGGGTTACAAGCATAGCATGTGCCTGGTCAGCAGTCTCCCACTTCCTTCTGGACCATGTGCCCATCATGAGGGCTCAACGCCCAAGGCTTTAGGTGAGAAAGAGGGGCCAAAGTGAGATTTCAGTGAGGAGGCCGGAGTTGTCTGGGCAGTTCTGGAATTGACCAGAGCCTCTCTCCCTCACTGCACGGGGACTGACCCCTCAGGACTGACCCCTCAGGACTGAGCCAGAACTTCCTCTCCCTCTGCCCTTATGGGTTGCTAGAGGACCGTGAGCTCTACTCACTGGAAGACCCTCTTTCATACCTTCATGTGGAGACTTCCTGTCCTCCTGTCCTGTCTGGTCTAGTCTGTTCTGAGCCGGGTCCCTTCCCCACCCGCGGCCCCTCCCCCTCCCCCTCCCTGTTTCTACCCTAGGGTAGGAGTGGGGGTTGGGAGAGACTTTTCAGGCCTGGGCTCTGGAGAATTCAATCTGGAACTGGTTAGCATCTGAGGGGATATGGTGTGGAAACATGGCCCACCCTCCCCTCAAGGCCAGCAGAATGAATAGAATGGAATGCCCCCGTCCCCCACACACTACCTAAAACCACAGTGGTGGCCTAACCACTACTTACAAAAGCAACTTAGAAAACTTGGAGAAACTGAGAAATAGTTTTTTGTTTGTTTGTTTTTTTGTGGGTGCTGGGAATTGAACCTGGGTCCATCTGGAAGAGCAGTCAGTGCTCTTAACTGCTAAGCCATCTCTCCAGCCCCCAGAGAAATAGTTTTAAAAACAAAATACTTCCACCTGGTTTACTGCCTCACCCCTACTGGGCCAGCCTTGGGTGAACCATTTGGGAGGTACTTCCTAGGTGCTAGCCCCAGGCCAGGCTCCTTATCAGCAGTAACTGCTACCTGCTGTTCACTGAGGTCCTGTTATCACCAACTGCAGAATGTGAGGGCTGGACCCCACCCCTACCTGGCTGAGCCCCAGCTCCCAGCCTCTGGTGAGGTCCCCAGGCCCACTGCTGACTCAGCAGTAGGGGCCTCTCTGCTCCATGTTCCCGGAACTTGGTTGGGTGTCTGGTTTTGCTCAGCTGTTGCATCAGAAAGGACTCGTTCTGCGTGCCCTGCCTTGTGACGCTCCCTGTTCTGTCTCCAGGGCCTTCCCCAGCCTGACCCAAGAGAATTTCCATTAGCCCCAGGGGCCGGCGGGCACAGCCCTCAATGGCTTTCTTGAGGCCTGGACAGCCGAGACAAAGCTGTAGCTCCCAATGTTATGGCCCAGAAACCACTTGATCTGGAGCCAAAGCTCTTTTGACAGCTGAGCAGTGTCCCCTCGATCACTCCCGAGACACTCTGTCCCTTGGCTGTTCAAAGTACCATTTCTGGGAAGGCCAGTGGACAGCTTTTCAGAGCCCAGTGTCCCTGTCAGCTGCAGAGCCAGCAGGTGGTTCTAACTACCCTGCCTGCCCCTCTGAAGACACCAGTCATCTTAGGTCTGAGGCTGGAGAGCAGCAGGAAGCATCTGTCATCCCTCATTCCGAGGCCCCAGTACCCCCTCATCCCCACTACCTCAGCACCGCTCCAGTCTTCCAGCATCTAGAGGGCTTCAAACCAAAGCTGGAGCACACAGTTATTTTATAGGACTTCTTGGGCCTTCACAATGCAAAGCCACTCAGCCCCACAGGCCCCGCCTCAGGGTAAAATTAGATCCTGTGACTGGGGACTTTACAGCTTTACCTTCCTCATGCTAGGAGTGACTTAAGTGTTCTGGCGGTTTTCTGCCTGCCCTACACTAAATAACAGTTCCTAGAACTGCCCAGGAGTGGATCCAAGACAGAAACCTGAGGGGTCAAGGGAGCCTGGACTGTGAAGGGAAGTAGGGAAGGCTAGTCCTGGATTAACTGGAGGCCAGCTGGGGCAGAGAACTGGCCCACTTCCGGGGTCAGAAACGGGAGTGGGGGGAAGGGGAGGGACTGGGACCAGAGTGGAAGGCACAGACTGGACTGGATGTGTTTAGGAGGGTGGAACTGTGGGTTGGGCTATTATCTGAGTGGGTAAGGGTTAAGTCCTTCTCTCTCCCCTCCGGAAGTTTCTCCTCTCCAGCCCTGGAGTCAGCAACCTGAGCCAGCAGTACCCTGCAGTTCCCCATGGCCTGCCTGAGTCCCTCACAACTCAAGAAGGTAGGGGCTGTGGCTGGGAGAGTCAGATGAGGAGGTACAGGGCCTCTGGTGACCCCTGACATTTCACAAAGGAGAGAAGTTTCTCTGGGCATAAGCCTGTGTACATAGCCTGAGGTGGGCAGATCACAGACCCTCACCCCCCCCCCCCCACTCCCAGGTGGCGTATGGTGGGGATTGGGGGTAGGAGGCAGAGGAGCCAGAATTCAGATTAGCCAATCCAGCCAGCCCCAGGGGCCTGTTGACGAAGGCGGAGAGACTAGACGGGACAGGCCAGTAGACCGTCAGTCCCATGATGAAAACCTACCACACAGCGTTAGGAGTTGGAGTGTACACACTTTGGAATAGCCACCCATGAATTCATATGCCAAGACTGCTAATGTTTTAGATGTTTCACAGTCCCTCCTGGAGCTATAGATGTAGCTTAGTAGTTGAGTGCTTGCTGGGGGCCCTGATAGATTCCAACACACACACACACACACACACACACACACACACACACACACACCCCTAGTCTCTCACGCCTGCCACTGTTGCTGCAGTTCTCAAACTTGCTGTGGTTAAGTACTCACTGGAAGTCAGTCCTTTTTTCCTGTCTCACAGTATATCCAGGACAGAACCCCTTGTCAGTATCCAGCACCCCCCACCGCCCAAACAAGGTCTCTCTGGTGTAGTCCTGGGTATGCTGGAACTAGCTCTGTAGACCAGGCTGGCCTCGAACTCACAGAGATCCACCTGCCTCTGCCTCCCGAGTGCTGGGACTAAAGGTGCGCCCCCCTACCCAGCTCATCTTTGCCTTCTGACCCCCTAGTTTGTCTTCTTTTTCAATGCTGGGGATGGAAGCCAGGGCCGTGTCTTTGCTAGGTGAGCAGTCTGTCTGAGCGGCATCCCAGCCCTGAAGATGCTCTTCCTCACCTTATCTCTCAGTCTCAAGATAAAAACCTTGGGGCTATGTCAGAATAAGCCCTCTGTGTTCACCCCACAGGCTTCCCACTACACTCAGGAGAAAACCCAGCTCCTCCTCTGACCCCTTCCCTTCCTGCCCACTCCTCCAGCCCTCCCCTCACCCTGTGCCCTATTCCTTCCCAGTTTCTCGTGTTCTTCCGGTACCCTGAGGCTCTGCGCACCCTAGTCTCTGTCTGCAGTGCTCCTTCGTATCTGTGCTTCCCAACACTCTGTGCTTTCCCTTAGACTTCCTCAGAGCTGCCCTTTGACCCTTCACCTCATTAGCTGCTCTGCCTTTCATTCTCAAAACCCACCCTTCTCTCCCTGTACTCGCCATGATGTGGGATGGTGTGTTTGCCTGAGGATTAGTGATGGGTCTCCGTCACTGGACCGTAAATTGTGTGAGGATGGCTTGTTCGTTACCATGCATCTGTCTCCTAAAACTGTCTCATACATACTCATGCTTAGTCAAGATTGGAATAGCCAGACGTGGTGGTGCACATCTGTAATGCCAGCATTCAGGAGGATGACACAGGAGGATCTTGAGTTTGAAGCCTCCCTGGGCTGCACAAAGAGACCCTGTCTGTAGTGGTATTTCCTCCACCCATAACCTTGAGCTATAGGGTCCAGAAGGAGGCTGTGCTTCTTGCCTTCATATGTGACCCCTTAAAAGGAAAGGGAGGAGGTCACATCCTTCCTTCTTCCTGGCGTGATTGGACGGCCAGGTGCATTCCAGACAGAACAGAGGATGACTTCAGCTGTTTACTTGGTTCTGTATTCATGAGTGTATTTCCTCAATTTATATCTTTTTTTTTTAATTTATTTATTATGTATTTAGTATGCCTGCAGGCCAGACGAGGGCACCAGATCTCATTATTGATGGTTGTGAGCCACCATGTGGTTGCTGGGAATTGAACTCAGGACCTCTGGAAGAACAGCCAGTGCTCTTAACCTCTGAGCCATCTCTCCAGCCCCTCAATTTATATCTTAATAAATCCCTGTTACCCATTAAATAGACTCACGTGGATTGATCTTAACAAGTGTCGCCCAATGTGGGGCCACATAGGAAGGCAAGAAGCACTACCTCCTTTGGGCCATATAGCCCAAAGTCATGGTCATGGGTGGAGGAAATACCACTACACCTGTCTTCAAACAAACAAACATAAAAGGGGGCGGGGCTAGAGAGGTGGCTCAGTGGTTAGGAGTACTTGTGCAATCTTGAGGACCACTTTTTGACTCTCAGCACCCACTTGAGCTGCACACACCTATAAGCCTACCTTCTGTGTGGAGACAGGATTACTAGGGCTTACAGGCTACCAATCTAGTGAAGAAAACATAAGCCCAGGTTCAAGGAGAGTGCCTGCCTCAGGAATAGAGAAAGTGGTAGAGGAGAACATCTAATGTCTTCTTCCGGTGTCCCTGCACATGCATAAATGTGCACACGCACAAGTACATACACACACACACACACACACACGGTTCTGTACTCACACGGACACATTTACACATAAATAATTAAGGACATATATATTTCCACATGTCCCAAACCCACTGGAGGCCAAGAGCAGAGACAAGCTCCTCTTCCCTTTCCTCTCGAAGATCCAAGCAGCCGATACTGACTGTTCCTCACTGAGTACCAGACACCCATGGCCAGGCTAGGAGACAGAAAAGCAGCAGGACACTCGATCTTGGTTCAGGTTTGTGCTCAAACATGAATCATAAGGAGTGGCTGAGGGCAGAGGGAATCCTGCGGCTTGTTTCTGCTGCAGTTTCAGGAGGACGGCTTTCTGCTGTTGGAAGGATTCTTGACAGCAGATGAGTGTGAGGCCATGCAACAGAGGATTGGGGAGATTGTGGCTGAGATGGATGTCCCTCTGCACTGCCGGACAGAGTTTTCCACCCAGGAAGATGAGCAGCTTCGAACTCAGGTAGGTACCTGGGTCGATGAGGATGGGCATCTGGTTTTTGATGGGAGCTCAGTACCCTCCTGAGGTGGGCAGCCTGGATGGGAGGACCCCTGGCCACAGGCTTCTTCTGATAAGGGATCAGACCTCAGCCAGCTGCATGCCAGGCACCAGGCTAAGGAGCTGTGCTGTATCACTGTTCACTATGAATTTCTACGGTGGGTATTGTTCTCACTTGGCAGATGGAAAAGCAGGGCTTTTCCTTGGGTAATACTGTGTCGCTCCAGCCACACACACAGTTTGTAACTGACAGAGCCAGGACTTGAATCCAGCTCTCTGTTATCAAGAGGTGCTGGTCTTTGACCTGCTGGGGTTTCTCAAGTTCTCTGGTCACAAAGAACCTTCTGTGACCAAAGTGAGCCCTGAGATTCTGACGGGCCACTCTGGGGTGAGTCATCCCCCAGCCAGACTAGGAAGGCCAGTTGCTTCCTCAGACTGAACACAGTGACCGGATAGGTGGTTCTTCCAGCCAGTTCCTTTAACCCCTCTTAGTCTGGATTTCTGAGTGGTCCAGGAAACAGTGCTCACTCATACTGATACCAGTGAGCTTCTGCCATCTGGTGGGCATAAACAGAATTACAGCAGCCAGAAGCTGCCTTCCCTAGGAGAGGGAAGTGTGAAGTCTTCAGAAAACATATTACAAACTTGAGTTGTTGTTTGTTGTTGTTGTTTTTCCCCAAATGAAAGGACACACACACTCTAAAGAGTGAGGGGGCTGACTTGTCTCCTCCCCCCACCGTCTTCCAACAGTCAGTGGACAGCGGAGATAGGAAGAATGGAAGAAAGTGTGGGCAGGGTTGGAGAGGGGGCTAGGTGGTTGAGAGCACTCCCTGATCTTGCAGAGGACCTGGGTTCAATTCCAGCTGCTACAGGACAGCTCGCACCTGTCTGTACCTTCAGTTCTAGGGGACCTGACCCCCTCTACAGACATACATGTGGACAAAACACCAATGCACATACAACAAAAAAATATTTTTAAATCTTAGGAAAAATTTTAAAAATGTTAGGGGAGAGATAGAGATAGAGAGAGATAGAGAGATAGAGATAGAGAGAGAGAGAGAGAGAGAGAGAGAGAGAGAGAGAGAGAGAGAGAGCTAGCTGGGCATGGTGGCACATGCCTTTAGTTCCAGCACTCAGGAGGCAGAGACAGGCGGATCTCCGTGAGTTCGAGGCCAGCCTGGTCTACAAAGTGAGTTCCAGGACAGTCAGGGCTACACAGAGAAACCCTGTCTCAAAAAACAACAAAACAACAAGAAAGGAAGAAAAAGAAAGGGTGCTGTGGTCTCTGGATACCTTTTTACTTCATGTGTGTGGGTCTCGCTTGCATGCACGGTTGTGCACCATGTGTGCGGTGTGGGAGGAGTCTAGAAGAGGGTGTCAAACCTCCTGAGACTAGAATTACAGAACATTGTGAGCCATCATGTAGGTGCTGGGAATTGATCCAGGGTTCTTGGGAAGAGCAGCCAGTGCTCTTCATCACCGATCCATCTTTCTCCTCCTGAGAAGCCATACAGTTTCAGCAAAGCTGTGCATTTTAACTTTGCTCTTTTCCCTGGTGACACAGCTACAGTGCTGGGTGGAGGCAGGGGAATGGCACCTCCCTTAGGGGGAGAAACAAAGAAGTGTACCAAGGGGACGTGTTGCCAGCATTTTTCACATAGAATGTTTATTTTGTTGTTGTTGTTGGGTTTTGTTTGTTTGTTTGGGTTTGGTTAGTTGGTTGGTTTTCAAGACAGGGTTTCTCTGTGTAGCCCTGGCTGTCCTGGAACTCACTCTGTAGTCCAGGCTGGCCTCGAACTCACGAGATCCACCTGCCTCTGCCTCCCGAGTGCTGGGATTAAAGTCATGTACCACCACCACCCGGCCATAAAAAGCTTTTTTGATTTATAAGATTTTCAATGTATGTGTATGTGAATTTATCTCATCAAAGCTCCATGGTGAATTAAGGAGCATTTGTAATAAGAGATGTACAGGAAATCTCAATTTGTAGCTTCAGGCACCTGGAGTTTTAATCCATTGTCTATACCTCAATGGTCATGTTTGAGGAGCCCCTGGAGGGGGGCATCTGTAGCCCTGTGGGGGTGGGCCGCTCCTGATCCACTCCTGTCTTTGTCACGCCCAGCTCTGTCCCCAGCCATTCTCTAGGCCCTCGTATGTTCCCCTCCGCAGGGCAACACAGACTACTTCTTGAGCAGCAGTGACAAGGTTCGATTCTTCTTTGAGAAAGGCGTTTTTGACAAGAAAGGTTTGGAGTGGGGCTCTGGAGACATGAGGGTTCGTGGGGCTGGATGAGGGTAGCTACTTCCTGGGGCTGGGAGGAAGCTGAGACCAGCTACCTGAGGAAGCTGGACTCCAGGTCTTCTGCCTTTGTTTGTCTTTTGTACCACAGGAAATTTCTTGGTCCCTCCAGAGAAATCTATCAACAAAATCGGCCATGGTGAGCAGGAGACTGGGAGTCCAGAAAAGGAATTAGGGCATCTGAGACCTAAAGTGTTTGAGACAAGATCAAAGACCACCATAAGATGGTAGTTGACCCCAGGGCAGGGGTGGTACACGCCTTTGATCCCAGAACTCGGGAGGGAGGCAGAAGCAGGCAGATCTCTGTGAGTCTGAGGCCAGACTGGTCTACAGAGTGAGTTCCTGGACAGCCAGGACTACACAGAGAAACCTTGTCTGTATCCCCACCCCACCTCACAAGATGGTAGCTGGCTGTACAGCACTCTCCTCAGCCTGAATCCTCTGCACCCTCTGATGTTGATCCCTTGGAACTTCCACCCCAGCACTGGGAAAGGACTCCATTTGTGGGGCCCCCAAGATGGCAGTGCACTCCTCCACTCTCTACCGCCTGGGCTGGGGATGATCCCTGGGGATGGGGCTTCTAGCTCCAGTGGCTTCCTGGAGTTTCCTTAAGGGACACCTGATGTGACATCTCAGTCCTTATTCTAAGACCTCCAAATCAAATGTGCAAACTCTTACCTTTTTTTCAGGATGACACATGACAACTGGTTTTTAGACTTGTTTTGTTTTGTTTTGTTTTTCAAGACAGGGTTTCTCTGTGTAGCTTTGGAGCCTGTCCTGGATCTTACTCTGTAGCCCAGGCTGGCCTTGAACTCACGGAGATCTGCCTGACTCTGCCTCCCGGGTGCTGGGATTAAAGGCATGCACCACCACCACCTGGCATTTTTAGACTTTTTAATTAAACGTTTGCTTATTTATATACTTTCTCTGTGTGTGGGCTCACTGAACCCTACAGCATCACTGGAGGACACAGCTGGTCTTCTCACTCCCATTTTATAGAGGAGGAGACTGAGGCTTATAGGAGAGGCCTGTTATCTGAGCTCACACAGAGCAAGTGGCGTTACTGAGATTGCTACCAAGAGACAGGCCTCTGTGAGTCCTTTTCACTCTGAGGTGTGAGGAGTCTGGGCTGGAATGAGGTTTCCAGGTGGCCAGAAGGTCATGAATAAGGTCACAGGCAGACTGGGGGCATAGCTCGATTGGTAGAGTGCTTGCCTAGTACACATGACGCCCAGGGTTTGATCCCTAGCACAGTGTAAGCCAGGCGTGGTGGCCTGTGCCTTTGATGGCAGCACACTCAGGCGGAGGCAGGAGGATGGGAAGGTCATCCTCAGGTACACAGTAAGTCCAGGCCATCCTGGGACTTTGATGTTACTAAAGCAAAATCAAACATAAGGCCCTGGGCGGAGTAGGGTCAAGGTGTCTGTAGCCTTCTACTTAGTTATAAACAAACATAATGTTTAAAATAGGCCTGAATCTGGTGTTCAGGGTGTGGGAGGGCTACATAAGGGCCCAGGCTAGCCCATGAAGGCTAGCCCATGAACCCTGTCTTCTGACCCATAGCTTTGCATGCTCATGACCCTGTCTTCAGGAGCGTGACACATTCTCCCAAGGTGCAGGTGAGTGGGGGCTGGAGGTGAGGGTGGGAGGGTGTGAAGGACAGATATGTGTGTATGAGCAGACAGGCAGTGTGTATGTGTGTATGAGCAGGCAGACAGTGTGTATGCATGTATGAGAAGGCCAGCAGTGTGTATGTATGTGTGAGCAGGCCAGCAGTGTGTATATATGTATGAGCAGGTGGGCAGTGTGTATGTATGTATGTGTGAGCAGGTCAGCAGTGTGTATGTATGTATGAGCAGGCAGGAAGTGTGTATGTATATATGAGCAGGCAGGAAGTGTGTATGTATATATGAGCAGGCAGGAAGTGTGTATGTATGAACAGAATGGCAGTGTGGCTTTCATCTTCCAGGTTTTGGTCAGAAGTTTGGGCCTCCAGCTGCCAGTGGTGGTGCAGAGCATGTATATCTTTAAGGTGAGCTCTGCAGCCTCCCCACACCTCAGTTTACCCTCTGTAAGACGACAGACTGTTCATAAACAGCATCATCTTACACTAGGCCAAGAACCGCTGGAACTGTGGTAGGTTGCTGGGAGGGCATGTGGAGCCAGCCTCTGGCTAAGGTACTTGGCAGCACATAGATGCTCAGTTAAAACCTGTTAGAAGGAAGGAAGCGTTCCTTGTTCTATTGAATGCTCTGCTCTCAGCTCTCATGGGCCAGCTCAGTGCTATATTCTCTAAGAAGCTGTCTAAATCCCCTGGGAAAAGAGTCCACACACACACACACACACACACACACACACACACACACACACACACACACACACACACAAAAGGGTTCAGCCTCAGGCCTGTGGAAGCCTGTTCCAGCCCTCCCATCACTGGTTCTGTTTTGTGATCTTGTAGGGTGGGTACAAACTGCCTCAGTGTAGACCTCAAACTCCTGGTGGGTGGGGGTGGCTTCTTTTTGCATACAGTAGGTGCTCAGTAGATGGGTGCTCATGCAGGGTTGCAGGACCTACAGGACTCAGGCCAAGCCCCTCTCTGCTCTCCTCCGTCCTCACCAGCTCCTTGTCCTCTCTTGCAGCAACCTCACTTTGGTGGCGAAGGTGAGTAGAGACTGGGCTGCTGTGCGAGCCAGCAAAGGCCCCAGGCTGGAGATGGGACAGCAGTGGCCACTGGGTGTGTGAAGGGAGGAAAAGCGCTTTCTGCAGTGTCTGGAATGGGCAGGAACCTGGGCCAGGGCAGCCAGCCACCTTCCATCCCTGCTTAGAGCAGTAGGCTTCTGAGGGGTCCCTACAGCCCTTGGTACAGTGGTCCCAATCCCAACAGCAAACTTAGCTGATTGAGACCAGAACCCTTGGTCCTCTTCCCTGAGACTTTTTTTTTTTTTTTTTTTTTTTTTTTTTTTTTTTTGCCAAAGACTAGCTTTGGCAGAGGTTCAGGTCCCAAAGAAGAAGCATGGAGTAGATGGCGGGAGAAAAGGAGACAGCCATGATTTGAGGGTGAATTGGGATAGCTGGCAGCAGCGTTTATTGGAAAAGGAATACACCTTATGTACTCTCGAGTTGCACATAGGATTGAACGGAAGAAAGGGGGCGTGTGAGCTGAGGTGTGGCTTGAGATGGGGGGGTGTTGAGGAATCTGACATTGACCTTGACAGTAGGCTTCGTAAGTTCATAATGGAAGGGCCACAAGTTCCTCTAGCCAGAGATAAGGAGAATGACTGCTTTAGCAAGCAGGAACTTTCCTCAAGCCCCAGAGGGAATGGAGGCCCTTATCCAAATGCCTGATCTTGAGAAAAGGACTTCTGGGACCAGACACTATACTTAAGACCAATTTTCATTCCTTAAGGGGAGAAGCACTGAGCCGTTCCCTAATTGTGCCCCTTTGTGTCTTAGTCTTACTCTATGGCCTGTTCCCCTCATATACTCCCAAAAGGGAAGGCCCTGATGTCTTACTCTTTTCCCATTAACCCTTACCATTCTGACTTCTCTACGCTTATTAAACTGAACTCTTGTCTTTAACGGCCTCAGGCTCTGGATCTGGATTGCAGGCCTTTCCTCCTTGGATCAGGTGTGTCTAGAAAACCTATAACTTTCCCCGGCCTTGGTGTGATTAGGAGGGCACAATGGGATCCCTGGTTCCAAGGTGGCAGGGATTTTTTTTCCAAAGAATTATTAAATTATATTTATTAAAGAGGCTGCTATTTTATACATTTTCATCCTCTACCAAAGCCTGCACAAAATTTCCCAAAGGGAAAGCCATTAATAGAATCATTAAAAATGAAAGTTAAAAGGTGCTGGAGAAGTGTGGTCTGTAATGTCAAAATGCTAGAACTTTATCAAGCAGCTGTGTTCACCACACAGTCCCCCCCATTTTTTTTTTTTTACTTTTGTTTGAAAAAGGGTCTCACTTTATAGCTCTGGCTGTCCTGGAACTCACTCTGTAGACTCACAGAGATCCACCTGCACCTGCCTCTCCAGTGCTGGGAGTAAAGGCCTACACCACTATACCTGGCTTAAGAAGTTGATTTTCTTTCTTATCTATTTTTGTGTGTTTGTCTGTGCGAGGGTGTCCTTACTGGAGTTTCAGACAGTTGTGAGCTGCCATGTGGGTGCTGGAATTGAACCTGGGTCCTCTGGAAGAACCACCAGTGCTCTTAACCACTGAGCCATCTCTCTAGCCCCCTCCCTGAGATCTGAAGTAAGTCAACATGAGCCTACAAGGCTGAATTTCTTTAAAAGAGAGTTACTTATGTTGGGCGGTGGTGGTATATGTCTTTAACCCCAGCACTCCAGGAGGTAGAGGCAGGTGGATCTCTGTGAGTTCGAGGCCAGCCTGGGCTACAGAGTGAGTTCCAGGACAGCCAGGGCTACACAGAGAAACCTTGTCTTGAAAAACAAACAAAGAAAAAAGAGTTCCTGTTTTTTTATTTATATGTATGGGCGTTTTGTCTGTGAACCACCCGTGCAGTGCCTGTGAAGGCCAGAATAGGGTGTTGCAGCCTCTGAAATTGGAGTCACAGAGCTATCTCTCTAGCTCACAAATCTGTATTTTTATTTATTTATTTTTATTTCATGTGTGCTCCTGTGTTGCCTGTATGTATGTCTGTGTGAAGGTGTCAGATCCCCTGAAACTGGAGTTCCAGACAGTTGTGAGCTGGCATGTGGGTGCTGGGAATTGAACCGGGGACCTCTGGGAGAGCAGTCAGTGCTCTCAGTCTCTGCCATCTCTCCAGCCCACAAATTTTGGGGACTCCATGGTGGGTGGGTGGCCTTCTGCTCACCTCTGCTCCCAAGGAAGACTGCCCCATTCACGGGCAGCTCTTCCTTCTTGCACGAGCCCGTCCGACTCCTTGTGACCAGCCTCCTCCTCCCACATCGCTCCTCCCATCTTCCTGTACCTGCTCTGCCCAAGGCCAGCACATCCAGCTACCTTGGCCATTTTTTCCCCTCAAAGACTTTGAAGCCCCCCTGACTGGACACACTCCTGGATAACATTGGGGATTTCAAAGCCCCTCTCAAAGTTGGGTACTTAGAATGCAGTTACCTAGGAAGAATGAAGGTGAGATTGTCACCCCGTAACTTGTTACTGTATACTAAACTCTGTCCAGTGGCATCTCCATCCTGGGTGTGCCTGGCATCAACACAGGGAGGCTTTAAAAAGTGGGTGCAAATGGGCTGGGGTTGTGTCTCCTGACTAGTAACACAGGAAACTAGTGCTGAGACACAATCCTGAGATCCTGTCTCAAAACAAAAGCGAAAAGAGGGCCAGGTCAATAAGTCAGTGGGAGAACACTCACCTAGTATGCAAATATGGGTGCTCTCTGGGTCTGGTGGCACAAGCCTGCAGTGCCCATACTCTGGAGACAGGAGGATTATGAGTTCCAGGCTACACAGCTGGGCCCTGTCACAGAACACAACAAAGAAATGCAGTGGCTTGGTCATTCAGTTAATGTCGAGCTCTGCTCTTATTTCTAGCTTATGCTACTGGTGGGCCATTTGGTAGTTCGAATCTGCTTGCCCCTGGTTAAAATGATGGCTTCAGTGATGTGGCTGGGATTAAACAATAGGTACTTTTTAGCATTACAAGGTTGGGCCTTGTACTAAGCAATTTCTTAAAAGATTTATATGTTTTCTATATATGAGTGCTCTGTCTGCATGTATGTCTGCATACCCGAAGAGGGTATTGGATCCCATTTTAGATGGTTGTGAGCTACTATGTAAGTGCTGAGAATTGAACTCAGGACCTCTGGAAGACCAGCCAGTGCTCTTAAACACAGAGCCATCTCTCCTGTACTAGGCAATTTTAATAAGTTGTTTTAGAGACACCTCTAGCAGGCCTTTGAGGTGGTTGTAGTTGGAACCACTCTAGAGATGGAAACTCTCGGGGATGCACTCTCTGCCCAGAGCTTGTAGGTCAGGCAGTGGTGAGCCTCTTCACTGGTGACAGGTTGGCCCTGGGAAGATAATGGAATGAGAACCTGGCCAGGTGAGGCGAGGCCTGGCCAAGGGCTTTGTACCTCACCCCCAGGTTGGTCTATTACAGTCTCCCCTCACCAAGATGCTACCTTTCTGTACACGGAGCCCTTGGGCCGCGTGCTGGGCGTTTGGATTGCGATTGAAGATGCCTTGCAGGAGAACGGCTGCCTCTGGTTCATCCCTGGCTCCCATACCAGTGAGGATTCTGTCTATCTCTGCCCAACCTATCCCCATGGAGAGGGACATGGGAAAGGAGAGGCTAACGGCTGGCTCCATGTTGGCCCACAGGTGGAGTGTCAAGAAGAATGATCAGAGCCCCTGAGGGCTCTGGGCCTGCCACTAGCTTCCTTGGGTCAGAGCCAGCCTGGGATAACAAGCTCTTTGTGCCTCTGCCAGTGCGGAGAGGTAGGTGGGGTGCAGAGCACAGAGAGGCAGGTGGCCATGCCTAGAGGTCTGTGTTTGCCCCACGCCTGGCATCCACAAGGCTCCGTGGTGCCTGCCACCTGAGGGCCATGGAATCATGGAATGGGAGGTGAGTGCAGGTCCTGGGCTTGGATGTGAGCAAGCAGTCTGCTTCCATCAGGCTTTGGAGGTCAGGCTACAACCCAGACCCTGCTTAGGGGCTATTTCTTGGAGTGGATGATTGAATCTCAGCCTCCATTTTCCCAAGTGGCCAGCAATGATTACAGGATGTTTACAGGGAATCTGTGAGGTGCACAAGTGCTCAGTGGATGTCGCAGGAGCTCCCTGCTTTTCCTATGGAAAGGGAATACTGGGTTCCAAGTCAGTGTCACCAGATCCCAGCTGACTGATTCCCTCGCCCAGGGAAGGAAGCCCTTATTATTATTATTATTTGTTTTTGTTTTTTTGAGACAGGGTTTCTCTGTGTAGCTCTGGCTGTCCTGAAACTTGCTTTGTAGACCAGGCTGGCCTCAAACTCACTGAGATCCACCTGCCTCTGCCTCCCAAATACTGGGATTAAAGGTATATGTCACCATGCCTGGCCTGGGGGAGGCCCTTCTTAAGGCTTCTTGAGGCAGGTCAAAGTGGAGATTTGATCCCAGGCGAACCTCTGTCTAACATGTGGCCTCATCCTGGAGCAGGCATGAGAGCCTGAGCTTCTAAAGATAGGAACAGAGAGGGTGGCGGACACTTCACCCTTTGATGGAGGAGGGCCATGTTCTCCCACTGCCTCGGGGAGAGGAAGGCTGTGCTGTGGGGCTGGTGGTGACTCGCTGGTGACTGGGTGGTATTCCCCAAGGGGGTCTGGTCCTGATCCATGGAGAAGTGGTGCATAAGAGTGAACAGAACCTCTCCGACCGCTCGCGCCAGGCCTATACTTTCCACGTCATGGAGGCCGCTGCCGGCACTGTCTGGAGCCCAGAGAATTGGTAGGTAGCAGGGTTGGTGCGTGCCTCAGAGAACCTCCTGAGAAGACCCTCCACACTAGACACAGTGATCCCTTAAGGCCACCTCTTGCTCTCTGCAGGCTCCAGCCCACAACTGAGCTGCCCTTTCCACCACTCTACATATAAAGGCCCTGGCAGGACGGGCTGGTTCCCTACAGAGAGAAGCTGTCAACACCAGGGCCTCTGGCTGCAACCCGAGGGCACATCTTCCTCTTTGGCTTTCTGATGGTGTCTATGACCCTTGGTCCAGCAGACAGGGAGCCAAGAAGCGAAGTGACAGGGCAGCAGCCCAGGCTGGGTAAAGGGCTTCCTCCAAAATGTTGTCTCACTGCCACCTTTCTGTCCTAAAGCAGCCTCTGAAGTGGCCTCTCAGCAGTGAAATGATTCTGGTTGAGTTTCAGTTTTCTCTTGAGTGGAAATTACTGTGTAAAGCACTGAATAAAAATGACTTGAAATATATTTTATGTGTATGGGCGTTTTGTGTATATGTCTGTCTGTCTGTACACCACTTGAGTGCAGTGCCTGGGAAAATCAGGGGTGTTGGATCCCCTAGAACTGGAGATGCAGATGGTTGTGTGATGTCCTGTGTCTGCTGGGAATTGAACCCCTGTCTGCAAGAGCAGCCAATGTTCTTAGCTGCTGAGCCATCTCTCCAGTCCTGACAAAATGACTTTTGAACATAGCTTCTCCATCCATTCTTCTTTCACTAGCAGCCCTGCAGAAAGCCATCAAGGGCACCCCACCCTGCCTGGTGTGGTTACACGCAATAATACGGAGCAATATTTAGTGGGCACTCACTGTGCATGGGCTTTGTCTCAAGTCCTTACAAGGAGGCAGGGGAGGGGGGCAGGGGGGCTTCTTATCTGTGTTTACGGACCCAGGACTTGACCAGGAAAGGGCAAGTGACCTGCCCAAGTTACACAAATGCATAGCTATCCTGTTCCCTCCAGGCCTGAGTGTCTAACCTCCAACCCCTTTGTCATTTGCTGGAAAGTAGAGACTCCTGGGGCTAGGAATCCAGTCTCAGATCTTGATAGCTCTGTGTCTGAGGCCAGTTTGCTCCAGGGTCCCAGGCCAGGTCCTTCCTCTCTCAGGGCCTCTTCATTCCTGTGTAACAGAGGTCAATGAGGGCCTGCAGGGCCACTCCTGTGGGTATGCTCAGCAGCACCTTCTAGAACAACTACTAGATCCCAACCCTGCTTATCTGGAGACTGGCCAGATACTGCAAACAGAGAGGAGTTAGCTATTGCAACCACAGAATTTTTTTTTCTTTTTTTAAAAGCAAAAAACTTCCTTTTGATCTCAGCTATAGGGTATTTGCACAAGGCCCTGGACTCCATCCAGTGTCACACACACAGTATTTTTTTTTTGAGACTGTTTCTTTGTGTGCCCTTGATTTCACTCTGTAGACCAGGCTGGCCTCAAATTCAGAGATCCACCTGCCTCTGCCTCCTGAGTGCTAGGATTAAAGGTGTGTACCACCACTACCCGGCTTAAAGACTAACTTGTTTTTTATGTGTATAAGTGTTTTGCCTGCATGCATGCCTGTGCGTCACATGTGTGCTTGGTGTCTAGAAGAGGGTGTCCATCCCCCTGGAGTGCCAGGAGGTTGTTAGCTGCCATCTGGGTTTTGAAAACTGTGTCTTAGCAGCTGAGCCATCTCTCCATCTGAACATGGGACCATGCTTTTATCCAATGAGCTATCTTAGCGACCTTTTAAAAGAAGTATTTTGAGCAGGGTGTCATAGTGCAGGCTTTGATCCTAGAGGAGAGACAGAGCAGGCAGGAGTTGGAGGCTAGCCTATTAGCAAATTTCAGGCCAGCAAAAGCTATGTGAGACTCTATCTCATTATATATATATATATATATATATATATATATATATATATATATATTTGAGATAGAATTTCACGTAGCCTAAGATGACCCTGAACTTATTTTGTAGCTCAAGATAACCTTAAACTTGTGGTCCTCCAGCTTCTGCCCCTGAACGGCAGGGTTATAAGCTTGCCTCCCTCCCTATTTAAGAGAGGCCCAGCACAGTTCTACATCCTCATTCACTGAGTCACCTGCCTGGCCTTGGCAGCCACGTCTGTAGCCAGGTCTAGTCCTCTACCAACTGGAAAGACAAGTTTACTCTTGGGTAATAGAGACACTTTCCTGTACTGATTTCTGGTCATAGGTGGTCCACAGGCTGAATACTTAAAAGAACATTATTAGTAGTGTATGTGTATGTGACATCTGTGGAGGCATGCATGAGCTAGCACACACATGTGGAGGTCAGAGGACAATTCTGGGAAGTCACTTCTCCCCTGTTACCTTTAGGTGGGTTCTAGGGACTGATCTCAGGTCCTCAGCCTTGTGTGGCAAGTACTTTTACCCACTGAGCCATCTCGCTGGCCCCCAGGCCAAATACTTTGGATACCTCACATCACCTCTCAATAGAGCCTTCTAGTATCCAGTGAGGGTCAGGCTGTCATTATTCCCATCTTACAGATAGAAGAATTGAGGCTCTGACTCACCTAAGGCCATACAGTATGGCCAAGGATTCTGATCAGATTTATTTGACACCAGACACCTAAGCATTAGGCTTTCTGTTCTGCTGCCCCCAAGGTCCACTCCAACCACGCCTACCCAGACTACAGGATGGGGGCTCTGCAGCATATTCAACTTCCCTGAATTGGTGTATGCCCTTAAGTATTTTTGTTTTCTAATTATCAGCAAAAATAAAACCAAGAGAGCTTTGCTTGTTTATTTGAAGTCTGAGTCAATTGAAAAAACCAAATCTGCTTTTCACCCCTGGGTTCTTAGTGTCCAAGTTGCTGGCTGCTGTGGGGACCATTCACTCTTTCTCCCTATTTCCCTGCTTTCATTGTCACAGCTGCTACTGCTAGGCCATCAGCAATATCAGTAGGTAGAGAGGCAAAAGGAGATTGTCTATCTGAGTAGTGTACGCTTCCAGGAGGGACACAGTGCTGATGGACCCCAAAATCCAAGCATAACTGTAGTTCAGGTCTACTCCACTGTCAAAGATTAAGATCAGAGCTACAGAGATGATTTGTGCAAATATAGATGTCATAGTCCCCTCAAATGTTTTCTTAGTTCCTGGCCAGCGGATCTCTCCCATGGTGCTGCCAAATATGGAGGCCACAGTATCACCCACACCCACAGCCAGGACCCCAGCATAGGGGACCAGGGCTCTCGCTCCTCCCAGGCCGTCCTTCTGTGTACAGGGCCTGGGAATCAGCCAAATGGGAAGAGACATGCCCAGAAGCAGGTAGATGTGTGTTAGGATAAGGGGTCCACTGTCTCGTTCATCCAGGAAGAGGGAGAGAAGGCTCCGCAGAGTGTGACCCAAGGGCTTGATTCGGAAATAGCGCACATACTCCAGGAAGATGAAGACTGCCAGACATACAGTGGCAGCCACATATAGCAGTGGCCGGTCAAAGATGATACCTGGGATGTAAGTGGCTACCACAATGAAGTGGAAGTATTTTCTTGTAATGGTAGGAGCCTTGTGCTTCTTGGACTCAGAAGATGACCGCTTGGCATTCTGGTACAGCACCACCATGCAGGCCATGGTGGCCAGCAAAGACCAATAGGCTAGGAGGTAGATTCGAGTTTTTGTGTAGAAGAGGAACTGAAGAAGCCAGAGCAGGGGGTTCCTACGAATGAGCCAGTGCAGCCAGGGCAGAACCACACCGAGGCCTAGCACACAGGTCATGAGGTGGAAGAAGATGGAAGAAGCCCACGTGCCTGAGTCCATGAAGACAAAGAGGGTGCTGAAGAAGACACCCATGAGCACCATCCCTACCACCACCACCAACAGGAAGAAGTCCACTGGGTCCCCTTGGCTTTCAGTCAGAGAGCGCTTGATGAGTTGGTTGAGGACGAAGCTAATGCCACCCAGTACCAGCAGTGCTTCCCCAGGAGTGAAGCATCGGGGCAGCAGGTACAGCAGGATCATGTTGAGATAAACAAATATCAGCAGGACTTCCAGGACCTCGATCACCTCGCCCACACTGAGGGAGTGCTTCATAATATAAATGATAATGCCTCCGGCCAAACCCGAGATGGCACAAGTATTGGTGGGCACCGGGCGAGTGATGCCCAGTGCCAACACCGAGGAGAAGAGGGCCACTGCCATGCCAGTGGCTGCAACCACAATGCCGAAGCGCTCGAAGTACGGGTTCCCCGCAGCCTGGCAGCGCTCCTTCATGACTACCCCAAGCAAAGGCATGACCATGGAGGCCGGCAGCAAGCCACTGTTCGCGGACATTCGGAACTGGAAAACGGCATTCCCCTGCTGGAGCAGCCGGTCCCACTTGTACTGGACGTAGAAGGCCTGCACTGCGAGGGCCACGGCGCACCACGAGTATCGGTCCCACACCACAGCGTGGATGCTCAGCACCACTGCGAACACCACGGCAGCCTCCGCCAGCACCGACCCGCTCAGCGGAAACCCAGACTCCGGGGCTGAGGGAGGGCACTGTCGGGTCATGTCTCCAGGCCTGGGGCTCTAGGGGCAGCTTGGTGACTAGGGACGCCTTGGCCTCTGGGGCCCTCAACCAGCCAAGCAGAGTGCAGCAACTTCACCCAGCCAGCAACCTCCTCCAGCTTCCAAAAGGGTGCTCCACCACGGGCCACTCTGAGGCCTGACAGCCGGCGCCCAGTCACCCTCCACCGCTGCCAACCTACGGTGTAGCAGACGTTTGCACTCTTCACCTCTCACAGGCTGCAGCGCCTCCACCGCGGACGCCTCTCAGCCCTGGGCAGCGCCATCTTGACCGTCCCATCCTGGGCCCGCCCCCGCCGCCACGTGACGGAGAGCCCCGCCCCTACTCGAACGGCGCGGGGTCACGTGGGCCCGGCGTATGGGGGCGGGGCCGGGGCGCGCGCGCGAAGATGGCGGCTGCCGCCGGCGGGCCGTGTGTGAGGTGCGGAGTGGGGCGCGGCGGCGGGGGTGGCCGTGAGGCGCCGGGCGGGAGCGGGGCGGGAGTTGGAAACGGGGTTCAGCGGCAGTGGCGGAAACGAGCCCAGGCTGGGTGGACGGACACCCGCCGGCGAGGCGGTTAAGTCCAAACCGTCCCCGCTCGCGGGGCTGAGGACACTTCTGGAGCGGGCCGGCCACTCTCCCTTCCCTTTCCGCGGTCCTTATGCCTCATGTCTCCCCGCGCTTCCTCCACCATGCTCCTTGTAGGCACTGCGGGACGTTTCGGGGTCGCCTGGAAGACACCCCCTACCGGGCCCCGCCGAAGCGTCCCCGTGCTCTGCCCCGCCTCGGGTGTGCCTTGCCCACACCGCGCATTCTTCCCGCGGGCGTCCTTAGTTCCCGCCTTCTTTTATTTTTGGCTGATGCCGGTATTGATTCAATCAGCAGAATGTCGCCTTCATCTTCCAGGCCATTCCGGGTGTTGTGCCAGACTTCGGACACAAGATGAATTATTGCAAAACAAACA